GCCGCAGCAGCTCGCCTCAAGCGGTCGCGGAACGACTTCCCTTCGCCCACTGGAAGCCCCAGCAGCCAGCCATCGTCCGGAACGACCCTCGGATTAACGAAGTGCCGTTGACTCATTTTCCTCCTCTTCGCACGGCGACGGGTCCCCACCCTGAATGTCCAGGGGTTCCGCAGTGCGACCAAACAAGTGGAGGTTCTCCAGCTTGCCCGGACTGTCGGTTGCGACCTTCTCTTTCTCCAGGAGACAAATTTTGTTAGGCAACGCGACGTCACCCTCTTCAAGCAACGTTATGCAGTGGATTGTTTCTTCTCCTTTGCTAGTACCCGGAGCTCCGGGGTAGGAATTATTATTTTTAATCGCGCGCTCATGCGGCAAAGCTCGTGCTGCTTTGACCCCGATGGCCGATTCATCACATTCGATTTTTTTCTGGACGCCGCCCGTTTTCGCACCGTGTGTGTTTACGCCCCGGCACAACCCTCGCACTCCACGGCATTCTACAAGAACTTGGATGTTCACCTCCTCGACGCACGGCACTGCCTGGTACTTGAAGATTTCAACTGCGTCGTCGACTCCCGGCGCGTTGCGCTTTTTGGACTCCCAGGGGTGCTATGTTGCGCTTTTTGCACTCCCAGGAGACTTGGAAGAGGGAAGTGACGTCAACGACACAGCAAATGCAGATTGGATGTTGACAGAAGAAAACGAAATCAACACCCAATCTGCGTTTGCTGTGTCGTTGACGTCACTTCCCTCTCCCTAGTCTCCTGGGAGTGCAAAAAGCGCAACATAGCCCCCCAGGAGACTAGGGAGAGGGAAGTGACGTCAACGACACAGCAAACACAGATTGGGTGTTGATTTCGTTTTCTTCTGTCAACATCCAATCTGCATTTGCTGTATCATTGACGTCACTTCCCTCTCCCTAGTCTCCTGGGAGTGCAAAAAGCGCAACATAGCCCCCCAGGGTACGGCCGCACTACATGGAACGCCCGCGAATTGAGACGGCTGATTGGACATTTCGACTTGGTGGACTGCTGGACCCTCCTCCACGGTGCCACTTTCGAGCCCACCTGGCAACGTGGTGGGTCAAGCAGCCGCCTGGACAGGGTCTACGTCACCGAGACCCTGGCCTCAGCCGTTCAAGCTTGTGGGGCTGTGAACTTCCCACCCGCCATCGGTCACATCTCAGACCACCGGCCAGTGCTAGCGGAGCTCTGTCTGGCTCCCTCGGCCGGGCACCAACGCTTCTGGCGCTTGGACTCCCGCGTCCTGCAGGACCCGACGAGCCGCGACCGCCTGAAAGAAGTTTTGCGCCGGTCTCTACTTGGAGTGACGCCAGATCCAGCGAACTGGGACCACCTTCTGGAAACCTGGCGGGTGGCGTGCGTGACGGAGGGCCGTGCCCTGCGCCAGCGGCAAGTTGGAGAGCTCCGCGAAACATCGCTGCGAATCCGTATCGTACGTCGTGGGGGCGCTGGGACTCCCCTTATGAGGGGCTACCTGTCGCAGCTCCTCGATCGGTACCAACGCCTACTACGGGCGTCGTAGGCGTTGATACCGATCGTACATAGCGCGTTTTCGGGTTCCGGTTTTGTTCTGGGCATGACACCACTGTTGTAAATAAAATTTTCTAAACACAATGACCATCTACGCGATCTTTTATGCAGTGAAGAGCGACAATAGCTATACATGTGCATAAATAATTTCAGATTAAAATAAGCTCGACCATGCCCTCTTTCCCCGTATTGTTTTCTTTAACAGTCCGAAATATCTGTGAGGGGGGGGGGGGGTAGAAACTGGAGCTCCCCCCCCCCCCCCCCCCCCGCCCGTTTTTCCTCTTCCGACGCCACTGGTATGGTAGAACGCTCCTCGACCTCAAGTTGCGTCAGCTTCTGTGCTTTTTACGCGGCGTTTCTTCCGCCCCAGAAAATAAACCTCCAAAGCAATTACAAACACAACAATTGTCAAGGTGCAGGCGAGCTGGTGTATGTTGATCATGATGCAAACTCCCGAGACTGGGAATGAAATTCGCAAGAAATAGTGAAGAAAAAAGAAAAAAGGGGACAGGACAACGTCTCAAACTCAGCTGAGTCGAGTTTGAGACGTTGTCCTGAGCTGAGTTTTCAGCTGAGTTGAGTTTGAGACGTTGTCTTGTCCCCTTTTTTCTGTCTTGTTACACTTTTTCTTTCAAATTTCATTCCCAGTCTCAGGATTTTGAATCATGTACAAACTAAACTTACTATATGCCAGCATGACTCGGGCGGCGTTCGATCGGATTACTACCAGCCTGCAAGGGGGTAGGGGGGCAGTTTGCCAGATCACTTCAAGGTTTTTCTGAACCTCAACCACCTGCCTGCCCCTGGCCGTTTCGAACTGGATGAGTATCGTTAAACAGTGCGTTCGTAGGATCACTACTTCGTAATGCACTTTAATAACCACCCCGGGCTGGCGGTCACAATTACTGATCTAACTGCACTGGCAAATATTCCAGCACATCCGGGGCACTCGTCGTCTCATTTAATTGCCTGACCAACTTCGCGCAGTCTAAATATCACACCCGAACTTTTGTAAACCTGATTTCGTGAAAACCAGTGAGGCGTGAAAACGTTATTTAAAACTGGAACTGTGGCGGAACATGAAAACCGGACTTCGAACTTTGCGCACTTGGACTTCAAAGTAATCAAAAACCGAGGTGCTTTTTTTTTCTTTCGAATGTAGCCTTAAAAGAGAATCGAAACCTTCGAACTTTTCGAACTTTATGTAGAAATAAATTCGGAATCTTCGAATTTATCGAACTTTAGGTCTTTAAAAATCAAATCGTTCGAATTTTTCGGATTTTAGATCCAAAGAAACTCGAAACGTTCGAATCTCTCGAATTTTCAAATTAGGGAAGTTCGAAATCTTCGAATTTATCGAACCTCAAGTTACTCTTTCCGTGCCAGCTGGCTTACCCGAACCCCGAGGGACGGGGAAACCGCAAAAACGGTAGACGCTTAAATATGATTGCAGGGCCCCCTTAAAGGGACAATGAAGACGATTTTATTTAATTTTTTTTTTTTTAACGGTGTTTTAGGCTTCTTGGAAACCTAGCATGCTGCCCAATTTTTGTAGACATTAGTAACGCGTATTTCTGTGCCTACGATAGAACTAAAGAAACCGAAACTGAACTATCTCCATTCTCATTTCTGGGCCTCCGAAAACGAAACTGACGTACGGCGTGACGTCAAGTGGGAATAGTCGGTATTGGTAATATTCAGGAGATCGAGACTGGCTACCGCGGTGGGTAATAGCACCGGGCGGTGGCGCGGTCGTTTCGTCGGATCTGTTAACATGGGCGAGAATGCCGCTCTCGCGAGCGAGTATGGGGCTTCCGTTCAGTTTTTTAACACCAACGGAACGGGAGTAGGCGTGTGGCGGCCTCCGCCACCACCCGACGGTGACCGCCCAGCCGACAACAAGAGACCCGCAGGCTCCACAGCATCGAAGCAGTGAGCAACATTCGCGCGGGCGAGACGAGACTCGAGAGCGGAGCGTTGCCGAAGGACAGGAACGCGGGGGAGATGCCGAGGGGAAAGCGGCAGCGATCCGTTCTGGGAACCGGTTCCTCCGTGGGGGACGCTCCCCAAGAAGGAAAAATAAACAGCACCATTTTTGGTTTTCACAAAGTCGGACGTCCTCTCTTTTCGTCGTCAAGGAACACGAACAGCAACCCGTACGTGAAAACTACCGTCGCCCGAACGAATACTGGTCTTCAGTCGGCCGTTTGAACAGGGCACAAATTTGGCATGACCATCACTTTGCAGAATTCTTCGAGTACCGTGTCCCCAAAGTTAACATGACACCGACATCTGAAACCAAAACCAAACGTCTTCCGCGTGTTTTTTTCTTTAATTGTATTTGGTTTGCCCATAATTGCTAGTTGCCCGTTTCGTGTCCAGCGTAGCAAAGAGAAAAACAATTATGTAGTTCTATTTACGGTTTAGTAATTATTTCTGGTCTGATTTATACTTTCCATGGTTATTCAAGCGGACATTAGAACAGTATTCCTAAAAATCGCGAACCAAAACGTGACCGAGGGTACTTCTCTCGTTTCGACCAATCGCTGACGCGTCTCGTGTGACCTCGGCTTCACGACCCCGCATCGGTCACGTGAGCTCCGCTTCTCCTGGCTTCTCCCGCAACTCTCGGGGCGTCGCCTCAGTCGATCCCGGTACGATTATTACCGCGACTGTTTAATTGATTTGCGTGGCACACAAGCGCCGGTTTCGGCTGAAACCCAGTTCAATCGCAAAAAAAATATATATATACGAAATTGCCTTCATTGTTCTTTTAAGAACTAGCCTGGGGAACATGTGAAACTCAGTAGCATTGTAGCCACACTCGCGCTGCAGCTTCTTATGCCCATAGCACACGTTCCGCGTTGGTTCCTATGCTTATTAAAGATATTTGTGCACCCGATGACGACAAAATGATAGCCAGACAACCGTAGATTTGCGGACATTGTAACACGGTAAAAACAACACGGTAACACGATCTGTCTCTGAGCTTTTTCGCCCATGCCCTTGGCGGTTGTGTACCCTGTGTCAGCGGGCATTATAAAAATGCACCGGGACGAGGGTACGTCAGTTGCGCGCTGGCGTGAGATTATGCGAAAAAGGTCCATAGGCAAAAAGTTGCGCGGCCTGGTGGCCGAAATGTAAAACAGACGAAATGGGTTTAAATGCACAAAATTGGAGTTGTGATAGGGCTCCTCCTTGCCCACCCGTCAAATGAAAGCTTAAAATTAACATATGTGCGCCGCGCGCCACGTCCGTGAGTGTCGTCATTGTGTTTTCGTAGACCAATCACGTATGCGCAGCAGCATTTCCGATATCGTACACTTTTGAAGTGTGAGCGTTTCTTTTTGTGAGTAAATAGTTGTCCACGCATAAAGCGCCTAGTGTATCAAATACGTATTGCGAGCTGAGGAGCCATCTCGTGACGCAGTCGACGATTTTCCACTGCAGAGATACAATACGCATCTTGAAGAACTCGCTGAAAAGCACGCGTCTCATTGCATCTTCGAGCCCGGATGCCATGGGTGCCGCATAAGTAAGCCACAGTTCGCTCACTCCCTTTGTGAATAATCAGTTATCTGTCTAAATAAACGAATACCGTTTTTTTTTCCTGCGTATAAGTCGTGTCTGTCGGTGTGTCTTACATAATGATGCGAGTTACATCCTTTTTTTTTTATAAGCATGAATTTTAAAGGATACTTCACCAAAATTTGAAATATTCCCGTCGCTTTCAGAAATGGGCTGATTATGATCCACAATATCCGTCAATAACAATCGCACGTTTGTATTTTGAGCCATGGTGGTTGTATTTTTTGTTATAAACGACCCACTATGGTAAGCGCTCGGAGAGCAGCCAGCGGAGACATGTCACATCCGGCCCAATCGTGACGTAGTCTGTCTCGGGATGAACAAAGCTGCGGCGAGGCTGGCGTCGTCAGGATGCCAGAGCCGTTCCAGTTACCGAAGCGATTGAAGCACGCCAGCGATCGGTCCACCGCAACTAACCGTAAAGCTGCTTTTAAGTAAAATTTGAGGGACGGGTTAATCTTCTATTATCTTGTAGAGGGAGAACATGGCGACGTCTCGGACAAACAAAAGAGAGTCCCGTTGAGTGGGGAGTTCCTCCCTCCCCTCTTCTCTTGTGCTGGCTGTAGAGCGGTCGGGATGACGTCAGGTTCAAGGCATGTATAGTTCTAGTACAGTGGCCTAGGGCTCACGGGACGGCTCGGCCTGATGCGTTTGATGTCGACGCGGCGGTGGCGCTGTAAGCGTTTCTTTCTGAATCTTTCCAGCGGGCATTGGCCAGACCAGGTCGTCTAGGCGGCCCTTATCGCTCTTATCAATCGCGGGCAGCGGGCAGACCAATCGCGGGCACCGGGCGGGAGAAGTTTAACGAGGAATCTACTGTTGCGGCTCCGGCGTTTTCGATAGGGCGGTGAGCCCACTACCCAACTTCTAGGGCACTGTAGTTCTAGGCGAGACAGTTGTCGTCACTACCTGTCAAGGTTCCTAGACGGGGATTACAAACGAGGCTTTAGCGACATCCACCAGGTGCTCTTGACTGATCGTTTAATTCGTTTTAAAATTCCTTTTCGTGTCTTTTTCTAACAAGATATTGGTGTGTCCGATGTGATACTGCTCCCTTGAACACATAAGGACCAAAAAATAAGCGCCGAAATTTAGTTGTAGTATCCCTTTAAAGGGGCAGTGGCATGTCAAAGTCTTATTTTGTTTTACTATCCGAAACGACTAAAAACGATGCCTGGACATTAGCCTCAAAAGTCGAAGCTTGGAAACTCAGTATTTGTGAAATAAAAAAAAAAAAAAAAAAAAAAAAAACAATTTCTAGAAGCCGAGTTTGAAATTCCCGCGCGATCCGCGCCATGCAGTTACGTCAAAGATTGAGTCGTCCTGCACCTCGAGTTTCTCTCATACCTCCGAGCCGTCCCGACCCGAAGCGTCGTGTTCGCCCGCGTCCCGTGAACAACAGCTCTTCTCCGTACGTGACACGCCTATCGCTGTGAGCAGACGACGCTTTACTTTCGAGTTCGAAGTAGGCTGCATTCACACTGGTGTTCGAATCGCAACCGCGAAGCGGATCCGCTCGTTTTCATCATCCATTGCACGTGAATTGGTATTGCATTTTTAAGCAACCGCTTTGCGGATGCGGTTGAGTGTCCAGTGTGAATGGGGCGTTAGGGCCCTTTCAGCGATCGTTGGAACGCGCAGCGGGCGTTTGTAAGCGACGTGAGGGGCTACGTCGCGCCGGTTCTGCGTGAAAGGCTGCCCCGGCGTACTCACAACAAAACTACGGTACACTGACACCAAACACAGTTCTCTTGACCGTTTGACGATTTGCTTTTCGAAGTCTGAGGGGTCATCGGGCATCTAAGAAGAGAACTTCGTCCGATTCCCTAAATCACCTATTAAACCTTCGTGCTACATGGGTCTAACGCCGCCATGTTTTCCCGAGGGAGGACAAAAAGCCAGGAGTCGACATCACTCCGGGCTCCGATTTTCAGTATTTCAAAAAGAGGGGCCGTAGTGCGTTCGAAATTATGTAAAAAGAAAAAAAATGTTTTACAAATGCCGGTAATAAATATTATAAAAATGTCGCTTACAAAGCTTCTAAATTTTATAATCAATTACGTTACAAATAAGAAGCGAGGGGATAAAAAGAGAGAGAGAAAAATGCCAATTTTTTTGCGTTTTTTCCTTTCCCTTTTTACCGCCTCGCCAACGGAAAAACGTGGGAACATTTTTTCCCGCGTTGTCGTATTTTTTGCGTGTTTATGACCACAACTTCCGTCGTTAAAAAGAAAAAAAGAAAAAAAAAACGAAAGACAAAAAAGAAAAAAAAAAACTTTAAAAAATAACTTAAATGTAAACATTTCGGCGGAACTCCGCCTGGTTAGGTAAGTAATAAGAAAAAGTACAACGTAGACTCTAACCAATTTCTTCAATGTGCCCGACGTTTCGAAGCCAGCTCGGCTCCTTGTTCACGGGTGACTGTATATGGGCGCAAAGGTAGCAACCTGTCGTCGTTTTCTTCTCTTCTCTCTTAGCTTTGTTTTCTTCTTCTGTTTCTGTGTGTGGCGCATTTTAGTCCGTGTATGTAGCTGCTTGGAAGCGTTCCGGTGGATCGGTTCAGGTTGTTGCTTGTATTTTGTATGTGCCAAGATTCTATTAAGAGCCGCTTCCTCCAGTTTCTTTCTGTGTCGAGGATGGAGGTGCTGTCAAAGCCAATGGCGTGGCCGGTCTTGTGAGCATGTTCCGCCAGCGCGCTGCCTTGGATGTCATTCTTCTTTACGTCATACTTATGTCTACGCAGACGTTCGGGAAAGTTCTTTGTTTCCCCCACATAAGAGGCGTCGCATTCGGCACAAGGAATTTGGTAAATCAGGCCTTGAGCTTTTTCTTTTGGTGGACGATCCTTTGGAAGAGGAAGAAAATGGCCCAGAGTTGAGACAGGTTTATGCGTAACTGCAATGCCGTACGGTCTCAAAACGCGGGCTAGGACCTCGCTCGTGCCATGGAGGTACGGGACGCACATGCGGCTGGAGGTGTTTTTGTTCTTGGATGTAGGAGGGTGACGAAGTTGTTTGTATATTTTGTTGACAAATCTCGTGGGGTAGTTGGTTTTCCGAAGGTCTCGCTTTATAATATCGACTTCCATCTTAAGTGACTTCTTTGTTGAGCAGACCATGAGGGCGCGTCGAAAGAGCGCCGACACTACAGAGGATTTGTGAGTTGCAATGTAGGGTGGTCTGACGAGAAGTTTAGGTAGCGACCGGTGTGCGTTGTTTTCCTGTATACTTGGAAGGATAAATGGTTCCCTGTTTTTTCCACTGCCACATCCAGAAATGGAAGGCACCCGTTAGACTCATGTTCAACCGTGAATTGAATGTCTGGATGGATAGAATTGAAATGTTTGTGAAGGCGGTCGACTTCGCTGGACTTGGCAACACAGAAGCAATCATCCACGTAACGCAGAAACAGAGTCGGTGTGGGAGAAAATGTGCTTAAGGCTTTTTGCTCGATGGCTTCCATTGTGAGGTTGGCTACAGTGACGGACACCGCGGCACCCATGGCTGTGCCACTACTTTGCTTGTAGTAGCGACCAGCAAAAGAAAAGTAGGTGTTTGTCAGGCACAGCTCTAGTAGCCGACATATCTCATTCACCGAGAGGTGTGTTCTTTCAGGTAGAGTCGTGTCGGCCTTGAGTGCCGTTCTGACAACAGACACCGCGAGTCGAATGGGAATACTCGTGAAGAGAGATACCACGTCGAATGAAACAAGTCACTCGTCGTCGTTCAATTGCAGGTCCGAAGCGAGTTCAATGAAGTGGGCAGTGTTCTCGACATGTGTGTTGGTCTTCCCCATGAGTGGAAGAAACAGACGATGGAGATAGTTTGACAGCGCTCGTAATGGCGACGTTGTAAAGTCAACTATGGGACGAAGCGGAATGCTTCGTCCCATAGTTGTTAGAGTCTACGTTGTACTTTTTCTTATTAAAAAATAATTGCAAAGAAAAAACTTTTTTTTTTTAAGCCTAATCTGGGGGACAAAAATGTCAAAAACAATTTTTCCGCGAGAAAAAAAAAAAAAAATAGAGCAATATTTATTGCGAGAGAGTGATTTTAGTTTGCGGCTATTTCGTCCGTTTCAAATCGCGCGCCACAAAGTTGGTGTTTCGTGACGTTTAGCACCAATTGGTTGCTACACTTCTGATTGGCTAAAAGTTTGATTGACAGCTTAGATCTTGGTTGTTAAACCTTTGTTATATGTTGTAATTTCCTTTTGAGCAGCACATTTTTACGTTTAAAGAATAACCCATGTATTGAGTTATTAATTTTCACTTCCGTTTGGATTCCATAGCATAACAAACAAAAGCTTCGCCGCAGTGATGTTCCATGCAGGGAATTTTCCTTTTTTCAGGGAACTTCCGGTCTCAATTTTGGTGAAAAGGTATATTGGAATTTTAACACGTTTGGCAGGGCATTTTAAGAATAAAGGAGGGAATCCGGGAAAAGCTTTAGAGGGAGCTCGACACACTAAAAAGTCGAGTGGTTCAAAAGTTTTAAGAAGAGAAAGAAAGTTGTGGTACAGAAAAAAGGTGTCTAAACGACTCATTTTAAAGTAGGTTTAGGGAACTTCTATTTAACTAGAAGTACATTCTCCGCGTATGTACTTGCACATTATTTGAAGTAATTTTTTCCGGTACTTTCCAAGCAAAAGTACAACTTCCGACTTCAATGCATTCTCCAAATTTGAGAAAAAGAAAAGTGTATTGTTATGTAAAAACACGCTATTGTTTTTCAAGATGTCATTTGGTAATTTCTTTGAGTAAAGTAATGGCGGCTATAAGACCGATGCAAATAAGTGCCTTATAGACGCTTTGCAGCAGCTGTGCATGGACGCCGCCATAACTGACCTGCAGTTTTTGTTTGCTTTTATTTCGTTTATTTCACTTCATCATTACCATAGCAGGCCAGGTTATTGCCACATTAGATTCAACTGTGTCCTTTTCTAAAG